TACGTCTGCCTTTGTGAGTGACACATTCGCCATGCACATTAGATCCCCATAAACACTTGCAGTAAAATTAATTTTATTATTAGATGAGGTAATAATGTGCACCAGTAATGGGAAGGAAGGATGGGAAGGTGTGCAGAGAAATAAGTATATGCCAGAAATACATTTTCGGGTAAGGAAAATGTTAACTTCTGAAACGATCCCCTTACTTCTCTGTACACAGTAGCTAGAATCCAAACTGGTGTGGTAGAGAAGTCAGGTGTATTGCAAAATTTTGGAGTGACTGAAGGTAAACCCAATGGAGTGTGGCACCTTACAGTTTGGGCCTACTATAAGGGTAACACTTGTGGCATACTGTATCCGTCTCATTCAAAGTATACTCTTTACCGAAATGGAAATATGAAAGGAGGAAGACAAAGAAGTAACATGTAGCAGGGATGGGCAGAAAAGTGCATGAAGAACTGAGCATTTGCACACAAAAGATCAGTTGGATATGAGGTGTAATGTGCCTACAACATTGATCAGACCATACAGTTTGATATGTGTTCTGTTGTATAATCTACTCACCACATATACATTGACAATGGTCTCTTCCTATGGCAGGAAGAGAATATTGTGCCCCATATAACTAGCCAAACCACCTGTGTGTGTGTGATAAAAGAGGGAGTGACCTGCACTACTAATCTGACGTAATTGCCACAAGCTATAAAGGTATTTTACTGGATAAAGTGTAATGGATAACTTCAAAACCTAATTTAAAAAGCCAGCATGCACAAGACAAGGATGTGTGCAGATACTCCTTAGGTACTAGCTTTTCCATGTTAGCTGCATTAAGGTTGTAGTCAGGCAAAGCAATCAGATGAGGGGGATAGTGAATGAGGAAAGACCAGAAAATGGTGGAAAGAACAGGGGAGAAAAAGATGGAACCATAGGAATATGAGGGTGTAGTAAGATTGACGAGAACTGTGGATGAAGAAGAGGTGTCCTAAATGTCAGTCGGTGAAGAGGAGAAAACTACAATTTAGCCAGCTAAAAGGGAACTACCAACAGGACCGAACAAGTAGTGTCATGAAGCAAAGGCAAGAATTGTGGGAGAAGACAAAGAAGATAATACACATACAGAAAGAGATGAGACTAGTCCTGGCTAAGGGAATCCACAGCCAGAGCAGCTGGATGATGTACCAGGTAGCAAAAAGGAGAGGTTTAGTATTAAGAAGAGTGATGAAAGCATCAATCTTTTAATGTGCCTAACTGGGAACAGATCCAACAAAAGACCAAAGGATGGAGTAACCACTCCATAGTATGTAACATATCTGATCAAGAGAGACAATCTGGCACCTAGTTCAAAGCCCTCAAAACCCTGGAGAAGAACAAAGCACCTTCTTTATGGCTTTCTTATCCAAAAGATCTTATACCATGGCTTTGAATGGAAAAGATGCTGAAAATCAGGAGGAGGAAAAGTAGACATAGAAAAAAAAGATGAGATGTGAAAAGCCATGTGTAAGAACTTAATGACCCACTGACGAGCTGTAAATGGGGTCCAAAAAACCTGAAGACCGAAACAAATGTACTCCCATGGGAGCTTAGCCAAATGAGTACAAAGGACATATGATGACCAACTCGAAGGGAGGGAGTTGACAAGAAGTAGAGGGGCAAGAAACAGGAAAAAAAGAGTACGAGAGTTAACAGAGTCAAGAACAGGTGTAAGTTCATGAGGTTTGTAGAAATGAGAAAACCAAGGAGAAATGGGAAGACTGGTGTCAGGCAGCCTCAGCCCAAGTCTACAAATTGTTAGGAACACCCCTGAAGACTTCAGGATAAAGAAAACGAGTCAAAAGGAGGTCACAGAGGTAAGAATGGGAAAGATGAACAAGTAGAGAGAATGGCATTACATCCCAAAAAGTCCCAACAACAGGGGAACAAAGCAAAAGATGAAAGGAAACCTTGGCCAAAGTATTGAAAATACCACAGACTGCCAGAAAAACTATCAGGATTTGATCTTCAGAGAAGACGGGTAATGAAGAAATTGGTGAAAACAGGAAATTTGAGCACAAGGGAGAGTTATAGGAGACAGAGGTCAGACTCCCAAGTGGATAAATGAGATTCCAGGGATTGAGAATCAAAGAATGGAAAAAGAGGAATAGCCATAAGCCATAGCAAAGGAATCCTGGAGTCGAGGAGAAGAAGGCACTTGAAAGTGTGAACAAAGCCGATACAGAAATTTGTCAGCATGGACATATATGTCTGGAGGAGGAGGAAAAGCCAAGTAATCCTCAGCATGAGAGACATGTAGTAAGGAATGGGAAGAACCAAAAGACATAGTTGAAAAAGTAAAGAACAAACCTGCGAAATTAAATCCACAGAAACATGGAGAGGAAACGTTGTGATCTAGAGGTAAAGAGGGGTCTGGTGTAAACCCATGAGGTGGAAAGAACCAGTCAATATCATCATTCTCATAATCAGGTTCAGAAAGAGAGGAATGCACTCCTGAAATAGTTGCCAAGGAGATGAGGAATGAAGGATTTAACAAACCCATGACATAGTGAGCAATGACTGTAATATCCTCCACAGTCAATGAGCCTCCATTGATCACTGACGAAAAAGGTAAAGTGTAGCAACATGGACAGTACCTTGGGAGGAGGCAGTAGTTACTGTCATATAAGAATTCATTGTTGTTAAAGTAATTCTCCAGATTTCCTTTTTATGCAGTAACTGAAAGGTGATGTAGTTTGAAATCTAAAAATGAAAAAAGACAGTGTAAATCTCACTAAGCTGAACAAAGTTTAAACTTTGATAAACATGTCCATTCACATTAATTTAGAGAACAAGTGCTTATGGGACCTACTGTGCCTGAAGCATATGTAGCATGATGATCATATCATGCACTAGCACAGTTCACATTAAAACATATCTTAGGTGAGAGACGGCTCAAGACTATTGGCATGCACAAAATCTCAAAGGCAGACCTTCAAGGAAAAGCCACTGTGTGCAAAGAGGTAAGTGTACTGTTTGAGAAACTAGTATTCCCAAAATTTGGAACCAAAACACTACTATTCTTGATCTTCATATATAATAACTCCTCAAACCTAACTGTACATCCAGATGTTCCCCTACTTCTACCCCTTCATCGTATACACATATCTAAAATATCATCCTCCATAATTATTTATATAGTTTATTTGTATTTCCCCATTAGCTTTCACAAAAAATATGAAACTGAAAGTGATCTATTTATTAAATAAAACAATTCAAATTATTAAGTGAAAACCTAAAAAATCTAACTGTACTATTTATTTCCAATTTTACAAAATTTATTTTGGACAAATGTTTGATATCCATATGCCCTTTTAGTCAATACGATTTATACATATATCCATACAGTGCCATTGGTAGTTCATTTATGTTTGGAATGGTATTACCACATTTTGCATCTGCGCTCTTTATATATACATTATTTTGTATTTTATGGTTTTTCACATTTAGCCAACATGATTTTAAAATGCAAAATCAAGAATAACCTATGCATAAACTGATAAAGAAAACATAGTTTACATTAATATTGCCACCAACTAAACTGGTGTTTAATTTATACGTAGCAGTTTAAAATTTTTTGTGTATTTTATTATATTACATATTCTTCCTAGAGCTGGAAGACAAACTTTATTGGGCTTCTATTGTTGACAAAAGCAATTTAATAGCATTGCTACAATAATTTAAATAAATTTGTGGTTTATAAGTGCATACATTTAAAAGTTCAAAGCTATCTGCTAGACTTCTGCAATTCAAAATATTTAGGAACTTGAGTGACTCTCTAGAAATCAAACTAGTGTTTTCTAGCAACAAAGCATACAATGTGAAAAAAAATACTAAGTGTCCAATGGTCAAATTATAACAATAAAACATGTAACTCAGTCAAATCTTGTTGCCCCCAGTGATACGAATTGCACTGTGCATACAATCCACTATATATGAAGGTTATCTCAAACTGTCATTATTTCTGGGTATTGTAACAGATCTGTTCAAACATAAAGTTGAAAATATCGAACTGCTTATCAATTAATACGTAAGTGTTATGCAAACTTGTTTGAATTGATTGATATTAGTTTTATTTTTTAACCCTATTATGCAAACATTAAATTTTCAATCATTAACACCAGGCAGTATGGGGTCATTGTGACCCCACACTGGCATTCTAGGGTTAAAAATTAAACAATAGATTTACATGTATTTAACTATCACAGGAGTATTAACTACAATCATATTAATATTACTATTACCTTCAGATTAGAACAAGCTACATACTTAAAGCAAAATTAATAATTAACCTGGTAATGAGTATATCTAACTAAATATATTCTTCTTACATTCTCACTTATAAAAATTAAGATGCACTGTTTCACTCTAGCCTCACTATTCATGATATTTTTATCTTTACACCCAATAATATATCTTGAGGTATGGCCAGCTTACAAGATTTAGGTAGCCCTAAATCCAAATACTAAATAAACATTGTAATAACACAAAATAATCTATATGTCATAAAAAATATTATAACGAAACTAAAAATAATAAAATTAGATATATTAAAACATTTTATCCATTACTATTAATGAAAGTAACAAAAAAGAATTAAAACCCACAAAGCAGTAAGCAAAACTTTAATTTCTATTTTTCTCAATTTTTGGTAAAGTGAAAACTGTGTTCATATTTCAAGTACTAAGAACATTACGAGTTTCATACTCAGATGATAATAAACTGTTCTTACTTATATAAGTATACAAAATATAAAAGTAAAACGAAAAGATATTCATACTTTTAATTTTTTATAAAGAAATTTTCCATTCTCCCCAATTTAAACAAACTCGAGAATTTCAATAGATCAACCATGCGGATACCTAAATACATATAATACAACACTGTCAGCAATGCGGTTAGTCACTCTAGTATTTTTTATTGTACTACTACTAGTACTGTAGTAGAAGTAGAGTAGGCCTAAGACTCACTTCCTCTTTCTTCTCGTTCTCTTCACATTTCTCTACTTTGATTGGAGATTCAGAATACTCTTCTGATGACATTATTTAAAACTTCTTTTATGCTTCTCCTAAAACGTTTAATATTTTAACAATAATTATTACTATCCGAATTTATTGAGTACGGCTTAAACCCGAAGAAATACACTAAACTTTTTATTAAATTGTAACGTTACTAATCTAACGTTAAAATTTGAGCTTATGCGTATAACTCTTGTTCGCAGTAATGATATATTCGATTCACCGTCCGCGATGCCTATGAAAATATAAAACCAATACTTTAAGGTCTACACTTTTAACAAACAATGGAAAACCGTTGTAATTTGCGAGTTAAAACACAATTTTGTTCAATAACAAAAAAAAAACAAGTAAGTTATGCATATTTGCAATTAAAACTTAAAATGAACAATAAATAAAACTGATTAAATTAAAATTTAGAAATATAAATAATATTGTGTTTGTATCCAATAT